TGAGAAGATGTGTGATTTAATTTCTACTTTTTAAAGATCATTCTGGCTGTTGTGAAGAGAACTGCTAAGGGATGTGATAGAGGCAGGAAAGTTATCCAGTGTAGCAGGGAAACTGCTTTGAGGGAGAGAACAGTGAAAAGTAACTCTCTGTTTCTGGGGTGTGAGAAGCAGCTTTGAATATCTCCAAACTGTGTTAGTGTGTGCGGGCCTGCTGCACCAATCGAACAGAACCTGAAGGAGGGAGTGGGAATGAAAAGAGGGACAAGGGTGCAGAGAATGGAGCTGAGACAAAGGGCTGATCAAGGCTCATTTATTCCTGTGCCTCAGCGATATTTATACATAACCAGCTCAGCTCAAAGAAGCACAAAAGATAACAACATATGCAAGCAGCTTATTGGGCCTCCTGTAACACAGATAATTTTAACAGAATGTTCTTGATCCACATGCTCCTTCAACATGGGAGTGCGTGACTTTCTTATCCCAGGAATTCCACAAGCTGAGATTGGCCTTGACTTGTCCATAGGCTGCCTACATTAGTGGTTATCCTGCCATTGTGATGGATAGCATCTGGCTTTCTTCTATAGAGACTGATCTCCTAATCAAACATTCCCGTGGCCCTGTGGTAGGTACTTTCTCCTAAACAGCTTTTTCATTCCTTATACCTGACAGGGTTGAGAATTTCCCACATCTTTAATTTCTGCTTCTCTTTTCATTATAAATTCTGCGATTTGTCTCTCCTTCCATTTTACTATAAGAAGTCAAGATAAGCCATGCTGCTTTTCCACTGCTTTGCTGAGATGTTTCAACCACTAGACAGCCTAGTCAATCACTCTTAACTTCTACTCTCCGTGAAAACTTAGCACAGGAGCACAATTCAACCAAATTTAGCTAAGAAGCAGCTTTGTAACAAAGAAGGCCTTTACTCAAGCTTCCAATAACATGTCCCTCATTCTTTCCCCCTGAGACTGCATCAGAATGGCCTTTCCTGTTCCTCTGCTTACGGACACACTTCTCCAGGCCCTGAAGTGATCTTCAAGTCCGCTGAAGCCTCAACTGCAGATTTGTTCTTTTTCTGAGTCCTCATGAGAATCCCTGCTTGTGCTCTTGAATGACAGTTTGACTTTTTAGCCTTTACTTCCAAACTCTTCCAACCTCCATCCTTGTCCAAGTTCCAAGCTGCTTCTACATTCTAGCTTTTTATTTCAAGAACATCACGTTTCATGGTATCAATTTTTTTTATCAGTTAAGGCTGAAAAAATCACACACTTTAGCTCTAGTAATTTTTGAAAAATTTAGTTATTTGAAATGCAGAGTAACAGTGACAGAGATAGAGATAGAGATAGAGAGAGAGAGAGAGAAAGAGAGAGAGAAATATATCTGCTGATATATCTGCTGATTCACTCCCTCAAACATCTTCAGCAGTTAGGCTTGAGTCAGACTGAAGTCAAGAACATGGAATTCCATCAAGGTCTGCGCATGTCAGTGGCCCAGGTATTTGGGCCATCATGTGTTGCAGAGAAGCTGTGGTGGGACTCGAACTGGCATTGCAGTATGGAATTCTCACAGTTGCAAATGGCAGCTTAACCTGCTATACCAAAATGCTGGCCACTCCAGTAATTTTTTTAGTGTTAGAAATTTTTTTCTCACTTTTCTAGGGCCTAAAGAATCAGAGATCAAGCTACTGGCTGACTCAGAGTCTGGTGAGAGAATGTTTCTCAACTTTTCTGGCATCATCATTTAGGGAATTGTAGGGCTGAGTAGGGGACATGCTGAACTCACTCACATTGAGGAAGAGATGGAAGGGCCAGGCATCTTACCAAAACCTTTTATAAACTCAAGAACTCCATTCACAATGGTGGAGCCATTGGCTCCCTGAAGGTGGGACTGTGGTTTTGTATTCATCCCTGAAATTTTAATTTGCAGTAAGATTCCTGGCATAGACAAGGCACTTACTAAATTTCTTATTTAACAGATGGGATGGATATTGTGGTACAGTGGTTAGGGTGCCACTTAGGATCCCTACGTGCCATATTGGAGTGCTGGGGTTCAAGTTCCAGCTCTACTTCTGGTCCAGCTTCCTGCTAGTGCTTGGCCTAGGAGGGGGTGGGTGATGGCTCAAGGTTTTGCAGCCTTGCTACCTACTTGGCAAATCCAGATGAAGTTACTGACTCTTGACCCAACCATGGCTGCCTTTCAATAAATTAATAAATCAAACTTTTACTAATTTAACAAATGAAAGAAATAATGAGTGTAGCGAGAATATAATTACAATGTAAACAAATAATGTACAGTATCGTGTAACAAGAGGAATAGAATATCGCACTTGGGGCAGATTGGAAACACTGTCATCACTGCTGAGAAGCAAGGTAAGAGAAGACTGGGCAATGTCCAGTGATTGAAGTCTTTGGTGACCCCAGGGTCTAGTGAGCTGTTTAAATGGAATGACAGTGTCAGTATTCTTGACTTATAAGCTTTGACAAGACTTGGTTTTATTCCTTAGCATATTGGATAGACTGCTTGTGGCCTAGTGGTATGGCATTCATGAATCACTGGATGCCCACATAATTTCTTTAAAATTTTAATCTCTCTTAGTTTATTCTTGAACAACAACAGGAACAACAACAACAACAGCAAAAACATCAGAAAGAACAGGATCTATAGGAGAAATTATGAACACCAGGAACACCCAGCAAATGGGCGTGGGCAGTTCCCATGCAAAGCTCTCTCTGCTCACTACTTCATGCTCTTCTTTGGGGATCATCCCTGATAAGTCTGTGTCAGACATGATTCCCCCAACTTGTGCTGGGGTCCCCAAGTTTGTTTGAGCACTTTCAGTTCTTCCTAGGTCCAGAAGTCAGGCTGTTTTTTGAATCAAGTGTTATAACAGAAAATGAACTAAGTCCAGTAAAGCGACTTGTCAGAAAAGTTCCAGGAAGAAAGGTTAACAATGAGTTCATAAAAATCCAAGGAGTCTGGAATTCTTTGATTGCAGAAACTCTTACTTCTCCCCGCCCCCCTTTATCCTTCCTTCCCTCCCTCCCTTTCTTTGTTCCTTCTTTCCTTGCATTTTAAGATTTATTTATTTATTTTAAAGATTTATTTTTTATTAATGTGAAAGGGAGAGGAGGGTGGGGAGAGGAGGACCGGGCCAGGCTGAAGCTGTGGACTATCTTCTGCTGCTTTCCCAGGCACATTAGCACATTGGGAGCTGGATGGAAAGTGGAGCTGGAAGGGAAGTGGTGCAATTAGGTCTCTAAGCAGCACCCACATCGGCTGTGTTGTCGCACAACACCGTCCCCCAACACTGGCCCCTATTTATTTATTTTTAAAGGCAGAGTTACAAAGGGGGGGGGGAGAGGGACAGAGGGAGGGAGGGAGGGAGAGAAAGAGAGAGAGAGAGAGAGAAACAGACTTCCATTTCTTCTATCTGCTGGTTTACTTCCCAAATGGCTGCAATGGCCAGGGCTAGGCCAGGCTGAAATGAGGAACCAGGAGCTTTCTCTGGGTTTCCTAAATTGGTTGCAGGAGCTGAAGTACCTGGGCCATCTTCTTGCTGCTTTCCCCAGGCACGTTAGCAAGGAGCTGGGTCGGAAGTGGAGCACCTGATACATGAGCTGTTGCCATATGGGATGCTGGCATTGCAGATGGTGACTTAACCTGCAATGTTGCAACGCCAGTCAGTCCTGGAAACTTTCCTTTTCTAAACAAAGGGATAAATTTAGCAAAAGGAAGTTAGAATTTTGTGGCCCTGGTGAGGAAGATGCCACCTAACCAAAATTGGCACCTGTAGATTGTATTAGTAAATAAAAGGGGAAGTATGAACATTTCAGAAAAATGGAATGTATTTTTAATTGATATACACATATTTCTTAAGGTTATTTTTATGTACAAGTTTTGAACAGTGTACATTTTACATGGGTTACTTGTGCAAAGTTAGATTTAGAAAAGCAATAAATGCATAAAAGATAACAATGGAACATCAGACAAAAGATTTACAAGCCTTGTCGCACACTGCTACTTAAAGGTACTATATCTAAAAGTGTAAATATTGAAACAAAGATTGCTGACATTGGCTTTAAGTTTGTCATCACATTGAAAAGGAGGAAGAAACTAAATCATGCAACAGTAACTCAGAATTTGAGTGGAAAATACTTTGCCACAGATATGCTTCCTTCTTTGATTTATGTCAAACTAAACAACAAAAAGATGGAGGATTGTAAGTTTATCTAGGGCAACTGCACTCCTTTAGAAAGACTAAAGGATCTCCAACTTTTCCCTAGCTCCAAAATTGATGGGTTTCCATTCCTCTGCTCCCACACCTCTTTAAAAGCAAAACCCTAGAAAACCGGTGTTCTGAAACTTAGCATGGATGTAGCTAACCACTGTCTTGCAAGGAGAGGATGTGTCAGGTACTACAATGGCTGTACTACTTTGGCTGCATCCTTCAACATTCTCCCTACCAGGAAACATCATCTTATAATTCATAAGATTGTATCGGAATTTTTGGCCTCCATTCCCCTTTCAAAACTAATGTTTTTTTTTTTTTCAAAACTAATGTTTGGATGGCTTATTTCCTTGCTCTCTAGGCCACAGTCTAAACACTTTTAAACCCAATACAAGTGAAGGACCAGCCAGGATGAAACAGCTCAGCCATCACTTTGTTTAGAGTAGTATCTTCATCATAAAGCTATGCATAAGAAACCACTTGTTAACAATTCATCTAAAAACCTTACTGCAAAGTACAGTAACAAATAATTGCCAAAGACTGGAAATGAGATACAACAGAAAAGGAATTAAGCATTAGTAATTGTTTTAAGTAACCCAAGTACAGTACATTTGATGTCACAGAGGGTGTTGCCTGGTGTTCAAGGAGAGGGGAGGAGGGCTAGGAACAGTTCAGCAAGGGAAGATGGAAACAGCACAGCAGCTTTTTGCTTTAATAAAGTAAATTAATGACAACGAGGAATAAGAAGGTGACAAATACATCAATATATTTTTTTTGTTGTGGTTACTTTCTTTTGCTCCCTCTGGGGTCAACAATCCCACCAGCTCTGTTCTACTATGGCAGAAACACGTTTTTCATATTCCCGCTTGTTCTCCTGGTACAGCTGAGCAGCCTGGCTGTTTGCTGGACTATTGGGATTTGGTTCATCCAATAGAGACTGTATGGATGTTAAAATGGAAGATACATCGTAGGTCGGACTCCAGCGGTTCTGAAGTATGTCTAGACATATACTACCATCTGCATAGACATTTGGATGAAACATCTTAGAGACAAATCTAACTGTGGGTGGCTTGTTTGGGTATTCTTCAGTGAATTCTATTGTAAGTTTGAATGTTCCATCCTCAAATGGGGTCCCCTCAGGCCCCAAAATGACCTCATTCCAAACCATTATGTTGTTCTCAGACGGAGCCCCGCTGACTGCAGCTGGAGGATCCTCCTGCAACCTTCAGAGAGACAGACAGGAGCCCCCAGCATCAGCCACTGGCGCTGGCTGCCGGCTGTGGGCCCCCTTCCCTGATATACACAGATTTCTAACCTACTAAATGAAAACTCTAAGATTTACTTCTTTCTATAGATATTCAAATGTATGCTATTTAGGTGAGATATCATTCAACTATGGGTGGTATTGATAAAATTAATTTATAAGAGTCATATTCGGTGGGATTGAAGATTACTTATGTGAATTAAATAGTCTCTCCAGGATGTTTAAAATTGATCCAAAGCCTTTTCAGGTTCATATGACTTGGGTAAATTTTGGGTAAATTTAAGTCACTCAATGTTTTTGGTTTAATGAAAGAAGATTTAACTACCGAGTTTTTGATTTTAAGTATGATATTAGCAGACTATTTTTATTCTTCCTGGCATTTCACAGCCCTAATGAATTCTAACTTTTAGAATGATGAGTTCCACATAAGAACAAATGTGTGAATGGAAAAAAAGAGATAGAAATTCCACATGAAAGATGTCTTTCCAGAATTATAAAATATTACGTTCTTGTTCTCACAGAGGTGATAGTGAGGGAGATCTCTTCAAACAGAATTTGATTCTCAAACAAAACAAGGGTTGTATTTTGAATAACTTTACTTCAGAATAGTTTTAAATGTATAAAGCAAAATATGCGAGATGGTAATACAGAGTTTCTATGTACACCTCACCTCATATCCCCTATTATGACCATCTCATAGTATTATATTTTACACAATTAATGAATCACACCTAATTTCCCCAATTTTTTAAATTCAAACTCTTTTTGTCTCCCCTGTCTTTAGCATTTTCAAAAGTCTCACTATGATGATGACTGCCTAACATGTACTTGCTGGAGAAATATTTAACAAGGAAATAACTTCAGAGGGCTGTTCACTGTAATATCATGAAGTGTTCATGAGTAATTCAAGCAAAATGAAGTATAAATAGTTGAATAATGTTGAAGAAGGAAGAAAGTTTAAAATGAACTTTCCAATCATCATTATCTTGTATATATCATCTGCTAAAATGTTTGCAGTCTCTCTTAGATCTGTACCTTTTGAGTTTTGCTAATTTGTTAAATAACCCATATTTAACCAATATCTAGGTAATATAATATATAATAATAGCAATATATAAATTCATACAAAAATGGCTACTAAACTCACATTTGTCCACTTTTGACTTCTTTTTTTAACTTTTATATATAAATATAAATTTCCAAAGTACAACTTTTGGATTATAGTGGCTTTTTCCCCCCATAACCTCCCTCCCACCTGCAACCATCCCATCTCCCATCCCATCCACTTCAAGATTCATTTTCAATTATCTTTATATACAGAACATCAACTTAGTGTATACTAAGTAAAGATTTCAACACTTTGCACCCACACAGAAACACAAAGTATAAAGTTCTGTTTGAGTACTAGTTATATCGATAATTCACATAGTACAACACATTAAGGACCGAGATCCTACATGGTGAGTAAGTGCACAGTGACTCATGTTGTTGATTTAACAATTGACACTCTTGTTTATGGCATCAGTAATCATCCGAGGCTCTTGTCATGAGCTGCCAAGGCTATGGAAGCCTCTTGAGTTCGCCAACTCCGATCTTACTTAGACAGGGCCATAGTCAAAGTGCAAGTTCTCTCCTCCCTTCAGAAAAAGGTACCTCCTTCTTTGAAGGCCCGTTCTTTCCGCTGGGATCTCACTCACAGAGATCTTTCACTAGGCCATTTTTTTTTTCCAGAGTATCTTGGCTTTCTATGCCTGAAATACTCTCATGGGCTTTTTAGCCAGATCCGAATGCCTTAAGAGCTGATTCTGAGGCCAGAGCGCTGTTTAGGACATCTGCACTTTTGGCTTCTTAATTACAGAAGAATGCAAGACTTTTCTATAGCAACAACATGTCCTGTATCAAATTAACGAAATTGTACAAAACATCCCATGCTTCTAATAGTTAAATTTCCTAAGAATTAATTATTCTAATTAATATCTAGTTCTGAAAAGTAGAAGTAGCCATGGAACCAGTTCTGTAAATGAAAAACTTAAGGTATGTTTTTGCTAAGTAAAGTCATGATGTGTATGTTTCATTAAGAAAAAATTAATTTTCATTCTAACAGAAGGATTGGTCGTTTCACAATGAGAAAGAGGAAAAATATATAACAAAATCTAAATAGATTCAAGAAAATTATAGAAGAATTTTCTTTTTTTAAAGCTTAAATGCATTTTTTTAAAAAATTGTGACTGCCATTACCACACATAGAAAACTGATGACGTTGGCCATCACTAGAAAGTAACCATGAAAACAAAGCAATGCTAGTAAATTCTAGCTAGATTTTGTTGCTTGCCACAGTGTCAAGCCTAATGTATCCTTCCCTTTTATTGAAAAGAAAGATGGGAAAGTGCTAGGGAGATACAAATAGGACTTTTTTCACTTATTTTAAAAGACTGAGAGTTAATTGAAAAGGTTAACTATTCCTAAGTAGTACACTATTTTTTTTTAAGATTTTATTTATTTATTTGACAGGTAGAGTTACAGACGGTGAGAGAGAAAGACAGAGATAAAGGTCTTCCCTCGGTTGGTTCACTCCTCAAATGGCCACAACGGCGGAATTGCGGCATTCTGAAACCAGGAGCCGAGAGCTTCCTCCAGGTCTCCCAAGTGGGTGCAGAGGCCCAAGCACTTGGCCATCCTCCACTGCTACCCCAGGCCATAGCAGAGAGCTGGACTGGAGGAGGAGCAACCGGGACTAGAACCGGCACCCATATGGGATGCTGGCAATTCAGGCCAGGGTGTTAACCAGCTGTGCCACAGCACTGGCCCCAACAAATAACACTCTTACGTATGACATTAATGATCACCCAAGGCTTTTGACAAGAGCTTACTTCAGCTGTGGAAGCCTTTTGGAGCTACTGGCTCGACAAGGCCATAATAAAGTTCTCTTCTCCCTTCAGAGGAAAGTGCATCCTTCTTTAGTAGCCATTTCTTTCCACTGAGGTCACCCACAGGGGTCCTTTATGTAAGACATTTTTTTTTTTCCAGAGAAGGCCTGCTGTGTAATTCTCTTTTTAAATTTTTAAAATTTATTTGTTTTAATTTATTTGAAAGGCAGAAAGAGACATGCAGAGACAGGTATATACATCGAGAGATCTCCCATCTGCTGGTTCATTTTCCAAATGCCTGTGAGAATGAGGGCTAGGCCCTGATGTCAGGTACTCAGTCTTTGTCTCCAACATGGGTAGCAGGGAACCAAGTATTTCAGCCATCACCTGCTGCCTCCTAGAGTGCACATTAACAGGAGCTGAAATATGAAGCAGAGCCAGAACTCAACCCAGGCACTCTAGTATGGGATGCAGACATCTCAGGTGAAGTCTTGACCAATGTATCAACACCCACCCCTATGCTTTCTTGAGTTCTATAGTTACATGTTATTTACATGTGTCCACAAAATTGTGCAGTTCTTGGATATTTAAAAGGTATTGTTAAAATACCATCAGCCTAAATTTTATTTATTTTTATTTAATAAATGTAAATTTGCACAGTGCAACTTTTGCATTGTTGTGGCTTTTCCCCTCATAACCTCCCTCCCACCCACAGCCATCCCATCTCCCACTCCCTCTCCCATCCCACTCTTCATCAAGATTCCTTTTCTTTCTTTCTTTTTTTTTTTTTTTTTTTTTTTTTTTTGACAGGCAGAGTGGACAGTGAGAGAGAGAGAGAGACAGAGAGAAAGGTCTTCCTTTGCTGTTGGTTCACCCTCCAATGGCCGCCGTGGCTGGCATGCTGCGGCCGGCGCACAGCGCCTATCCAAAGGCAGGAGCCAGGTGCTTCTCCTGGTCTCCCCTGTGGTGCAGGGCGCAAGCACTTGGGCCATCCTCCACTGCACTCCCGGGCCACAGCAGAGAGCTGGCCTGGAAGAGGGGCAACCGGGACAGAATCCGGCACCCCGACCGGGATTAGAACCTGGTGTGCTGGTGCCACTAGGCGGAGGATTAGCCTATTGAGCCGCGGTGCCGGTCCTTTTGTTTTTTTTGTTTTTGTTTTTGTTTTTGTTTTTGTTTTTTGTTTTGAAGATTCCTTTTCAATCATCTTTATATACAGAAGATCAACTTAGTATATACTAAGCAAAGATTTCAACGGACTGCATCCACAAAACTGCACAAGATATAGAGTACTGTTCAAAGACTAGTAGTTTTACTGGTAATTCTCATAATAAAATACATTAAGAACAGAGATCCTACATGGGGAGTAGGTGCACAGTGACTTCCGTTGTTGATTTTACAGTTGACACTCTTATTTATGATGTCAGTAATCACACGAGGCTCTTGCCATGAGCTGTCAAGGCTATGGAAGCCTCTTGAGTTCACCAACTCTGAACTTGTTTAGTGAAGGCCATATCACAGTGGAGGTTCCTTCCTCCCTTCAGAGAAAGGGGCCTCCTTCTTTGATGGCTCGTTCTTTCTGCTGGGATCTTGTTCACCCAGATCTTTCATTCAGGTCATTTTTGCCACAGTGTCTTGGCTTTCCATGCCTGCGAGACCTTCATGGGCCTTTTAGCCAGATCCGAATGCCCCAAGGGGTTGATTCTGAGGGTGGAGTGCTGTTTAGGGCATTTGCCATTCTATGAGTCTTCTCTGTATCCTGCTTCCTCTGCAGGATCATTCTGTCCCTTTTAATTCTATCCTTCATTATTTGCAGACATTGCTCTTATTTGTGAAATCGCTTTGACACTTAACCTATCTTTTTGATCAATTATGTACTAAACTTACCACTTTAACAAGTGAGATGGAATTGGTACATGCCTCCTTGATAAGATTGAATTGGAATCCCCTGGCACATTTCTAGGTCTACCTTGGAGGTAAGTCCAAGAGAGCATGTGCCGACCTGTATGTCTCCTTCCTCTCTTATTCCCACTCTTATATTTAATAGAGAGCACTTTTCTGTTAATTTTAAATGCCTAAGAATAATTGTGTATTAATTACAGAGTCCAACTGATGGTATTAAGTAGAACAAATAA